TGTCTTTCCGACTTGTGGCGCCGCCGGGGTCCGAGTCTTCCAGCTAGTTCCGACGCCGTCGCCGTCGCCGTCGCCAACCCAGCTTGGCCCCGCCCCCTCGTCCCTCCCCCTCTCCCTCCCTCTCCCCCCGCGGGCTCTTCAGGAAATGACGTCCCGCCTCGCGCGCCCGGCGGTTGCCTGGAGACGAGGTGAAACAGTCCAGCCCCAGGAAAGAGAGGGGTGAAAATGAGGGGTCGTAGGTGGGAGGAGTCCTGGAGGCCCTACCAGGCCCCCTAGTCTGCTGCCCCTCCCGCAGGGCAGATGTGATGGCTCAAAAAATGGTCGGGACAGCAGCGTGTGCGCCGGGATCGCTTTGAAGCAATTAGCGGGCTAGCTAATTCGTAATTGTCGGGGAAAATAGCCAACTTTTTGCTCTTTGCCTGTGAAATACTGAACGATTCAGGTTCGGTTTTCTACTTTAAAACGTTGCGCTCCCCTCTCGCACACGCCCTGACATACAAGTTCAAGTGCGCACGTGACGATTATGGGGCACCTACTGTGTGCATGAGATCAATGCGAGCACGGGCTGGACCTGCAGGAGCCCTCTCCTGTGTGGGGACAGACCAGGCGGCCCGTCTCCAGTGGCAGAAAGCCGGTTTCAGAAATATGAAGTGTACCCAGCACGCTCATGTCCACATGTGTACACACACACACACACACACACACACACAGGTGCATATAGATTAGTGAAATCTGAATAAGGTGGGTGGGGTGTAGCAATACAACGTCCTGGTTGTGATCTTGTTGCATCAGGGGACACTGGGCGAAAAGTCCATGTCTGCATTCTTTCTTTTTTCTGGGTATTATTTCCTTCTTCCAGGAGCAAGAGAGACGCAGCTAGAGAGGCAGCCGCCCTCCACAAGGTCTTCACACCAGTATCCCCTCCTGCCCTGTCACCTCCCCCCACCACAACTTGCCTTTGGACACACACAGACCCTGCTGTAAGGGTGAACCCGGAACCTTCTCCTAGCCTCACAGACCTTTGCATTCCAGCGACATCAACGATGCACCACTTCTTACAACTGCGTGTGGTTCTATGATAGTCTCAATAGAAGTGTGTGTGAGTGTGTGTGTGTGTGTGTGTGATAGAGCGATAAATGGGCTGTGAAAAAAGTATTCTGTGCCCTCCCAACCCAAGACAGAAGTGAAAGCGATCCTAAGAGTCTCTGGTCCCTCCCCCACAACAAACAAAAGTCCTCATGCTTTTATTCAAAGGTAGCTTTCTAAGAAACTCTGTAACACCCATACACACACAAACACACACACACACACCTCATTTACATCTCTGCCATCCCAATTTGCCTCCTTTCTGTGGTTCTCCTACATTTTTCCTAAAGCTGATTGAGAGATTTTGCTATAGGGCACATGTGCTCACTGAAAAGACAGACAGAAAGCGAGACATCACCCACTGGGGAGCGGGTGGGGTGGCCATGCCACGATCCTTCCCCACGTCTGGCATGAGTTTCAAGCCTCTGGGTCCAGGACTCAAATCGTGGGAGTCCAGTGACATAACCATTACAACATTTGCTGGTCCCCCCACTGATTTCTATTTGAGAGAGGGGAAGAGGTGGATCCAGAAGGATGGATCACTCATTTATTCATTCATTTTCTTATTCACATACTTTTCGGTCACTCTCCATTCAGCTTTTTCCAAGCACCTCAGGGAGTCACACTGCAGCAGCAGAGAAAGATTGTGTGAGTGAACTCGAAACCGGTATAGTAAACGCTGGGATGGTTGAGGGAGCCATGGTTGAAGGAAGAGAAAGAAGTGACTTTTTTTTGGGGGGGGGAGGGATTTTTGCTGTAGGGTGTGTGTGCTCACCAGAGAGACAGAGAAGCAGAAAGCAAGAAATCACCCCCAAGGGGGAATGGCCACTCTGCAATCTCTTCTTCTCTATTCTCCCTCGAGATTTAGGGCATGCACACACATGCGCTCGGCATGAGTTTAAGCCACCAGGTCTGGGACTCGAACCTCTATCGACTATGTGGGAGTCCAGCGATGTAACCATTATGCCATCTGCTGGTCCCAAAAAAGTGAAGACTTTATTGGAAAAATCGGTACCCAAATGAAGGACCCCTAGGAAGTATGAACTTTCTTCTCTGGACCTTGGGGAACTGTGGACAAATTTTCAATACCATTGGCTTTTTGCATTTCTAAAACTCAGGCTAGGAATTAAAGCTATATTTTCCCCCAAACATCTTCAATTCTCAGGGCTAACATAGCATAGCAGTAGAATGCAATTCTGTGAAGCTGGCCCACATGGGAAGTTTGGGTTCTCCTCTGGAGAACACCCTGGCCATGCCGGGCACACCTGTTCCTGAGAGTGGGCTGTCTGAGGCTGGGGGTGGATTGCAGCATGGGGACCTGGTTATTGGCCTTTCTGTCTCTCTCTGGCCCATGGAAGAAATAAATGTGTGTGTGTGTGTGTGTGTGTGTGTGTGTGTGTGTGTGAGAGAGAGAGAGAGAGAGAGAGACCTTCAATTCTCTCCATTTCCCTAAAACAGGCTTACATTAACTTAACACTCAAAATACATATCTGCCATGGTGTCTGAGTAAGATTTTTTTGAATGGCCAGTTAGACTACCCGTGGACCTCTGTCTTACAGCTCAAAGTTCAGCAATTAATGGTGTGTATCCTTATTTCTCCTGCTTAACTGCTCTTGAAGTCATTAATGCAACTAGACCAAGATACTTAAGGAAAAAAAAAATTTATCTCCACACCCCAAATGTATTAATGACATATCTCAAAATGCCACCAAGCAAGGCTTAATTGTATGCTGTTCAGGTTTCTGGCAAATGTATTTCATACTTAGCTCTTACTTAGTTTGTGTTCTAATTATAATTACAGTGATTGGCTTGATAAATGTATCCTGGGAGCTAACATCCCCCTTCTCCACATTTTATTTCTGTGCAAAGAATGTTTTTGAGAAGGGATTTGGCTTTAGGCAGCAGAAGCCATGTTGCACACAATCTTAGAAAAAAGAAACACTTTCTTCTGCAAACATGAGAAACCATCTGGGATGATGTGCTATTGTTTCATTTCATAAGGAGAGTTTGGTGGGGGGCAGACCGTGGAAGGGTATAGGGAGACAACTCGCTGGGGTTTCTTCCATCCATCTTACATAACACCTTAGTATCAGTTTGCATGGTGTTCCCTGGGGCCGGAGGCAACGTGCAAATGTGCGCGAACCTCAAGAATCCTATTTCATGTCTGAAGATGTGTTTGTCTTATTCAGAAATAAGCTCTTGGAAACTCAAGATGCCTGGACTCCTGAGGGCTGCCCTACCTCCAGCCTCTGGGCCTTGAAGGAACCCTGACGGTGCAGCATGGCCTCGGTCGCACAGGGTCCAGCTCCATACTGCCCTCTTCAGAAGAGAAGTGTTATTTTCCCATGGATGTTACAAGCCTCCCTTTGCACCTTTCATCAAAGCCACTTTAATTGTTCATTTTTTTCTCCCCAACTCTGGCCGATCAATGCCTTTCCTCTGGGGAATTACCTGGAAACTTGAACACACTGGGACAATTGAAAAGAGAGGAAAGGAGTAAATCGGGCTGTGCTTAGTGCTAGCACACCTTAGATGTACTTAGAGTGCTTTGTGTTGAACTACGTGTGTTTTTTGTTTGTTTCTTGTGTGTATGTTTTAACCAAGGGGCGCCAACAGGCAGTGTTCCTCACACGGAGGCAGAAAACCATTATTCCGGTCTCACAGTGTCCCTTTAATTAGCCATATGACTCACAGCAAGTGACTTCACCTCTCACCTGTCAACTGGTGCTTCTAAACCTTCCCTGTTACAACCAGTAACAGCGACGACCTTCATGTTTTATGTCCTGTGCAGAAAATGAAAGCACGTGCAACTCCTAGACCTAGAGTGTCATGAAGTTGCTTTCTTTTTCCCTTCTTTTTTTTTTTTTTTTTTTGGTGTGGCAATATAAAGAGCTTTTTTTTGGGTCTGTTTCATAGTTATTTGGAGCTTCTCTACTTATCCACTAGCATGCATCCTTAGAAAGAGCTTAATTTGAGATGCCCTTTTCCACAGGCCATGGATAAAATATATAGCTGATGTTTATTGAGTGCAGAATATGGCTTTAAACACATATTTTAACTCATCTGATCTCTTTTGAAAGTTATTTATTTAATTGTATTTATTCATTCATTTATTTTAATTTGACCAGAGAAAGACAGATACAGAAAAAGAAGGAAAGTGAGAAAGCAAGCTACCAGGTCCCAGACTCGAACTGTGGTCAGCCATGTGGGAGTGTCCAGCGCCTTCACCACACCACCTGCTGGCCCCACTCATTTGATCTTAACAGTACTCTATAAGGGAGAGATCATCATCATCATCAATTTTTCTGGTGGTAAAACAGACAGGACAGACACACCTGGAAGGGACTCTACCCAAGGTTACCAAAATAGTTCATGGAAGAATCAGAATTTGAACTTAGACAGTCTGACCTCAGAGCTCATCCTTTCAACCACCATGCTGTGCAGTCTTCCAAATGTTTGCTTTAGAGATACTGAACTGTCCCAGCATCTCTGCTGGGACCAGTATGAGGACTTCGCTAGAAAGTTGTGCTGGGAAGCTCAGAGGTTAAAAACAAGCACACAGACTGTGGTCAGCCATGTGGGAGTGTCCAGCGCCTTCACCACACCACCTGCTGGCCCCACTCATTTGATCTTAACAGTACTCTATAAGGGAGAGATCATCATCATCATCAATTTTTCTGGTGGTAAAACAGACAGGACAGACACACCTGGAAGGGACTCTACCCAAGGTTACCAAAATAGTTCATGGAAGAATCAGAAT